TATATAAGTGAAGGTGTTGAAAAAGAGGACAAAGAAGTTATTGAAGATCCCCCCCCATGGACGCTTGATTCTTTCGGGAGAAACTATCAACGTCCATCTCATTTTTACAATAGCTAAAATATTACCGTGTGAGTTATTTTTTCAAAGAATTTTATAAATTCATTTCATTATTAAATAGTATTTTGTCACGATTATATAGCAAAATATTCATTTACGAGTATCTCAAACCGTTTAAATAGACTGTAAGCTTTAAAAAGCACTCTCCACTACTCCTGATCCTCGAGCAAAATGGAAGCTCCTTCGTAACATTGGCTTATGTCGTCCACCCAACTCACCATCTTCCTATCCTGTATCCCCTGAAGAATTAAACTCCCACTTTGTCTCGCCCAACTCTTCTTCATCAAGGCCTGTCCCCATAACCGCTCCCTCTGGACCCTCATTCAGTCCGTCTAACTTCTATTTCTCCTATCTAACCCCAGCCGAAGTCCTTGAGGCCATAACCAAATCCCACTCCAAGGCCATTGGAGTTGATGGAATCCCTATCCATTTTCTTAAACTCTGCCTCCCTATATTACTACCTGTTCTACTTCACATCTATAACTACTCACTCCAAAACTCCATTTTTCCGACAGCCTGGCAAAAAGCCCTTGTCCACCCTGTAAATAAAACCCCCAACCCATCCTCCCCTACAGACTACCGTCCCATTTCCATCCTCTCAAACCTGTCCAAGCCCCTAGAAAGATTAGTCCAAGCACAAGTCTCCAGGCACCTTGAAGAGTCCCATCTTCTCAACCCTCTCCAATCTGGCTTCCGCCAAGGATNAATTATGTGACTTCATAGAAGGTTATTATATTTTGTCTCATGTAAATTATTCTAAGGGGACACCAGTCCCAGAATAAAGTTATTTTTCTTCTTTCTTCTTCTTAAAATTTTGAATTGCGGAGAACTTCTGAAAATCGACTCTGGTCGTTTTTAGCGGTACCCCTTCATGTTATTTATTCCAACTTAAGAATTATATATTTTATTGTTTTACGATATAGAAATAGATTATTTCTTCCGTCATAATTTTAACGCAAGTTCGTTGTACGGAAAGTTGAATTGAGAGACAGGTTTTGACATAGCATGATTAAGCCTCAGAGGGAAAATCCCTTGACAGGCATGCCAGTTCTCAAATCCTCTTTCTAATCCGTACAACGCAAAAAAGTCTACCATCAATTGTTTTGTATTTTCTGACTTTCTTTAGTACGTATTTTTAGTAGAAAATTTAATACTGGTATTTTTGTGAGATCTGAGGAGCGATGTATTTTCCGCTCGTTTCCGACCTACTTGTCTTTCTGTACTGTTTTGTCCTATCTTAAAAAAAGGTCATACAGAAGAGGATTAAACGACCATTGAAGTCGAGAGTTCAAATTACTTTAAAATGCTTTTGCTTTTCGAAGTTTCTCAAATAAAAAGGGGTGACGATGCCAGATCCGAACATATAGTTGGAGGCCCAAATAAATTAGCCACCTCGGTCCTCGGAGTTAGGTAACAAATAGTGAAAAAATAATTATAGTTGGAAACTTCAAGCTATTAAATTAAGATTGTGATTATCAAAACCAATCGAAGGTCATAAAGATTAACTCGACAAAGTTGTACTAATACATGATTTGTCAGGGAAGTTTCGATTATGGGTTATTAAATTCCATAAATTTGTACATCTTTCGATATAATGAAAAGGTTTAAAATTGAAAATTTTGCTTTTCCAAAACTACCATTTTACAAAGGTATCATCATAAAAGAAACTATGCTGAAATGCCTTTTGTAGGCAGTACCCTAATGGACACAGTGATGATTTATTATCAGTCAACAAGATATTTATTCAATTTTAAAATATTTAATTATTTATAATCACCCACAATTGAACACATTACAATTCTAATTTGTAATGGAAGCATTATTCTTCTTTTACCGGAGTTCTTAAAAAAATTTATATAAAAATTTAAATGTAAATATAAATATTGCTGAGTATATTATCGGCCTTCAATGATAAATAATAAAGAATGAATATAAAAATAAAGATGATACTATGAAGAAAAAAAACTTATTTTCTATTGCCGAGCTTTCCTCAGAACTTTATTTAATTAACAGAAATTATTTTGTACAGGTTACATATATTATAATGATTATTCAACTAACTGTGGAAAATCTATATTTATACGCATTTGTTTTAGCTCAATAATTCAGTAAATGGGCTGGTTGATTAATCAGGGCAATATTATTAACGTGTGGTGATTAGTGACCGTTAATCGATATTTATTTAGAAATCGTGAGATGCGGTCTGGTATGATGTAGGTTTCAGAAGAACATTTTCTTTACCGTGGCAACGTTTCGATCTTCACTGAGATCATCTTCAGGGCCTGGGATTTACAAACATTGTTTACATATAACAATTACATTTTGAATGTGGAAAAGTGAATTTATACAATGCAAAATATATTTTTTATATATTCAATCAAAGTATTTCTACTCACTCAAAGTGTTTGTCTTTTGTATAATTGTGCCATTCTTGCAAGTCGTGCCGAGAGTGCCAGTGAGATTTGGATTTTGAAGGGGTGGAGAAGGATGTCGGTATAGAAAAGACATTTTTGTATAAGGCGTCGGCTTCCATGAGGTGAAAGGAGCCGACGAACGGAAAAAATGTGTTGGTAATGGTTCGGCAGATTATCCTTTCAGGATTATACAGAAAGGGGTAAATAGGAAATGGAAAGCTAAATTGTTGGACAATTAGGCTATTAAAAATATTTGATGTGTGGAATGTAATGTAATGATATAGGTATGTTATCTATATTGAATTTGATTAATGATATTGGCGTAGCTGCGACTGAGTTTACATGTCTCTGTTCTGTAATTGATGCTGTGTTTATCTGGGTTGGCATTTCTAAGAAATTACGTTTATGTTTGTTTTGTTCTTTGTGTAATACTTTTGGATTTTTGAAGTCGAAATTGTGTTGGTGTTCAAGATGGTGGGTAGCGAGTGCTGTAGGATTTTGCTTAGGTTTTTTGCAATCATAGATATGTTGCTTTACTCTCTTGTCCGGATATTGGGATGTAAGACCGATGTAAGTTGCCGGACAGTTTAAACAGTTGATCTTGTTGATTACGTCAGATTTATTTATTTGTCATACCACAACTTCCTTTCACATTACCCTGAGATGCGGTCTGGTGTGATGTAGGTTTCAGAAAAACATTTTCTTCATCGTGCCAACGTTTCGATGTTTATTGAGATCATCTTCAGGGCCTGGGATTTACAAACAATGTTTACATTTAACAATTACATTTAGGATGTGGAAAAGTGAATTTATACAATGCAAAATATATTTTTTTATATATTCAATCAAAGTATTTCTACTCACTCAAAGTGTTTGTCTTCTGTGTAAGATGATCTCAATAAAGATCGAAACGTTGGCACGATAAAGAAAATGTTTTTCTGAAACCTACATCACACCAGACCGCATCTCACGATTACTAAATAAAAAACTAAACAAAAGTTTGGACATATGGCGTAGAACTGTGGGGTTCTGCCGTCTTCGAGCATCCAACTCATCCAATCCTTCCAAACAAAAGTCCTCAGACGACCGTTACAGCTCTTTACTATGTCACTAACCTCATTGTCCACAACGACTTCAACATTCATTTTGTCAATGAACTATTGCTTGTCTTAATGGTCTCGAGATCTCCTTGTCTCTTAACCCCTCACGCTAATTGTCAGAATTGGTTGGTTTCTCATGGCTTGTCCCCCGGATGCAGCGTTGGCATTACTGTTAGTACTGTGACCGTGTGAAAAATTTTATGTGTTTATGAGATATTTGTAATACATACTAATATATGTAGGATACAAATAAATACAAATATTTTAATTATAGTAGATAAACTTTTTTCAAATGTAATATTAAACACTATTTTCATATCCTCATATTTAGAGCCCAACTAGCGTTTTAATGTATTTGAAGCGATACCAACAAAAGTACCGGGTGGGATTCCTTCTCATAAGTGGCAGACTTTAAAGTACTGGCGCCCATGCGTTGCTTTAACATACTATTGTATTTATTGATAATTGGAGATCGTGAGATGCGGTCTGGTGTGATGTATGTTTTAGAAAAACATTTTCTTTATTGGGCCAACGTTTTGAAGTTTATTGAGCTCTGAAGATGATCTCAATAGAGTTCGAAACGTTGCACGATAAAAAAAAATATTTTTTTTTAAACCTATGTCACACCAGACCGCATCTCACGATCTCCAAATAATTAACTAACGGTCACTAAACACCGCACAATACTATTTATTAGATACAGGGGGTACCCATTCTCATGGACATATCAAAAATTTATTAAATTATGAAAATTATTACAAATTAAGAATATGGATGTTTAAGTAATCATATGACTTAACAATATTGTCTAACAAGTACCTTTTGCTATGCTTTTTATACAGTATCCCTAAGTTCATAGAAAAAATTGTATTTAATGTAAGAGCCCTGAACAAGGCTTAACAAAAAATCGAAAGCTTGGCAAAAAATAAAACAGATACATATTGGAGGAAACAAAAACAAAATACAAATAGCAAATAAAAACAATATGAAATTTTAAATATGCATTCATTATATTAGAAATTTATAAATCAACATCACATGTTTGTAAAAATTTTAAGCACATTACACAGCAAGTTATAAGTCAAAATAAACAAAACAACATTGTAGGTTCTAAGATCTAGTAACGCTAACATTAAACATAATTATCAAATTATCTACATAACACATAAAAGAAATCAGTTTTAAAAAACTTCGATACTATTCCAATAATACCAGATTGCTTCTCATTGAAGATTTATAAAAATTTTAACTGACAAAAATACAAAATAAATTTATAAAATTATTAAAAAATATTTGAGAAACATATTCTTTATTATATAAACTATCGTTTCAATTAACAAACGTAAACCTAAAAAAATAGTAACTGGAAAGGTACAAATTTTCTTGCTTCCTGGAGCTATATAAAGCGCAAATTTACATATGACATTCTTGGCACGGGATGAATTGTCTAAAAATCAGGAGCACATAAATTATGACGCTTAGAATAAGATTTCTAAATAGTACAAACGTATATTATTTCATAGGTCTCGTCAAATAGGAATAATTCACCAAGAGGGCAATCACTCGCCAAACAACATTTGGATATTGCGAAAGTTCAGATGGGACACACTTTATCGCCTCGTATTCCATCAATCGTCGCATCAGATCATCTCGCGTGTATTTCAAATCCTCCCAGCTCTCGTCAAAAACAATTGCAGAAACACCTTCTGGCAAAGACGGATTATGGTCGAATATGTCCCTGTCGACAACGATGATGTCTCCTGCTGTGAGAAATTCCTGGAAGTCCTTTTCCTGAATGATGTCGACTCTTTTGCAGATCCACACGTACAAATTTCCGACATACGTCAGTATGCCGCCGGGCGTGAAAAGAATGAGGGCCGTGTAGCGTTCTAACGGCTCTTTGTGTGGGATTTGTGCATTATACGGGACTTTCGTGTGGAGAGTTACAGTGTCGAGTACCATTCGCTCCGTAATTGTCAAGATTCCATACATCTGGAAATTCGATCCAACAAGTTTTTCGTGTATTGCAAAAAGCCAACTGTAAACCGTGTTTGTTACTGTCTCTAAAGAACAATTAAATCTGTAATTGATTTTTTAAAATATTAATATAAAGTATATTTCTATACACTCAATTATTCTTAACATACCTATGTGATAAATGAATATCTGTTAACCCAAGCCTAAGTTTCATTAACGTCATCAAAAGTTGCTGTTTAATTGTTAGTTGGCCGACAATCCAGCCCAAATAATATGAAATGTGTTCCTACAGACAACGAACTTTAATGTAATATAACAAATGTAAAACAGTTAATTTTAAAAATAAGATTAATTTTAACAATGAAAAAAATTTAAATTTTATGGTTTAAGTAATGAAATCACAGTAAATTGAGCTGTTCTACCAAATTAACTTTTTTTTAAATTTGAAACTCTGGATTTGAGATTTTATGGGTTATATGGTCCTTGAATTAATACACTGTATTGAACATATGCCAAGCTTTCCACTCTATATTTCATCTTCCTCGAGGCAATGTACGCAGTTATCAATAAAAATAACAACGTAAGAAACATTAACAGTCAAACATGTAAATAATAAATCCTATATATCCTTTAGAAATGGGAATCACACTTGAAAGGTGTAGAGAGGTGTTTTATAAAAAATGACTGTTAATGTTTCTTACGTTGTTATTTTCATTGATAACTACGTACATTGTTCTGAGGAAAGCCAAATATAGAGCCAAAAGCTTGGCATATGTATAATACAATGCATTAATTTAAGGACCACATACCCGATAAATTCTCAATTCCAGAATGTATCAAAGTTGACATCAAAAAATCACACCGTAATTTGAAATTACCCCTTTTTTAAACCAAATGAATCTTTTTATTACTTTGATCGAATATAACAAATATTTGTTTGCATTGTATAAATTGACTTTTTTTCCACATCTTACATGTATTTGTTAAATTTAAACAATGTTTGAAAAATCCCAGGCCCTGAAGATGATCTCAATAAAGATCGAAACGTTGGCACGATAAAGAAAATGTTTTTTTCTGAAACCTACATTGCTCAAGACCGCATATCACGATTTTCGAATAATCATCGACTAACGGACACTAATCAACACACCTTTTTATGAAATAAAAAAAATAAAAAAAACCTTTTTTAACTTTTCAATTAATTAAGGTTTTTAGTTGAGATGAAAAAAGTTAATGGCACGAGAGGGATTCGAACCCACGAGTTTGATGTTGATGTTTGATGAAAAATGGCAAAAAGAGGGAAAACTGATGGATAAGGTGAGGTTGAGATGGGGAGTTGATGTCCGGTGGATCGAGGTCACGATAGCTCAGGTGGTAGAGCAGCGGCGTATCAAGCCGAAGGTCGTGGGTTCGAATCCATCTCGTGCCATTAACTTTTTTCATCTCAACTAAAAACCTTAATTAATTGTAATGTTTAATTGGTCAAGCGGACCACGAAATTAGTGAACCTTTTTTAACGTTAAATTAACAAGGTTTACCGTTAAATTAAAATTTTCTTTAAAGCAATAAAATCCTAAGAAATCGTACGAAACATAATATAAATATTATGATATATATAAATATAAATATGCGCAGTAAAATTAGTGTATATTCCATAATTTTTATTAACACGTAGTTTGTTCAAATTAACCTTCTTTTAGTTCAAATTCCACCTTTTTAACACAGATGCTTAAGCCGTTAAAAAATTTGGCAGATGGTATGAAATATAAGCAATAAAATTGCTTCATATTTGCGACTTTTTGTTAGATATAAAAGACAATGGAAGCGTTCTTGTAAGACGATGGAAATTAATGCCAAGTATCATTAAAAATTATATAAAATTAAGTATAAACAATTCTCCTATTAATTGGATTTTTTTAATATAAAATCATTATTTTATATTAATTTTCAAAAATTTCAAATTTATTTAATTAATAATTCAATCGTAATCAATTTTCAAGTGGTATTTTATATAAGAAACCATTTTATATATACTCAAGTTTATTTATGTTTTATTTTAATATGGTCTTCTAATAACCCAATCCTTTTATAGAAAAGAAAAAGGCAAACACAGGAATTTTAGTTTATGCTTTATTTCATACCATCTCCTAAGTTAATTTGAAATAAAAATGGTTAATTTGAAATTGGAAAAGGTTTTTGACGAAAAAAGGCAGTAAATATATAAGTTCTAAGAACATCATATGAAAAAGTTAATTAAAATTAAAATTTATAGCAAATTAAAATTAAAAATAAGGATTCTTATTTTAATTTGAGATATATTTCAATTTGGTTAGAATTTTTAATTTTATATTTAAATTTATAATATTTATNGGCTCAAAGTGTTATCTGCGTAATTGTGCCATTCTTGCATGTCGAGTCAACAGGGCACTCTCAACACGACACGCAAGAATTGCACAATTACGCAGAAAACAAACACTTTGTGTGAGCAGAAATACTTTGATTGAATGTAAAAAAAATTTTTTTTGCATTGTATAAATTCACTTTTTTCCACATCCTACATGTATTTGTTAAATTTAAACAATGTTTTTTTTAATCAGAAATTAAAAGAAGAATATTTTGGTTTTATATAATTTTTAATTTTCATTGTAATGAATTCCTAAGTACAATTATTTTATTTTTCAAATGCCGGAATTTCATTATAGGTGCGGTATTGGTTCCATATAAAGAGCTTGTAGGAATACCAGCCGGTGTATGAATGGTTCTTTGGCCCGGTAGTATGAGGTATCCCTGTTTCGAATTTCAAAGAAAACATGGTTGTTTCTTTGTAGACAGTAAATATAGTTTCGAATTTCAAAGAAAACATGGTTGCTTCTTTGTAGACAGTAAAAATAGTTTCGTTTACCAGAGTGAACGTATTTATTGGAGTGAATGTGCTAATTGCGGGATAATGAGTACCCTATCGTTTATTTATGTAATAGGTGAAAAGTGTTAGTGACACATTTTACACACATTACTGTCTCATAGTTGCTTTTTTTTAGTTTTAAAGAAAGGGTTAATTAGAAATTAAACAGGTTAATTTTTAAGTTAGAAAATGTTAAGTTGAAATTAAAACGAATAATATTAAAAAGGGTTAATTTGCCGAAAAAGGTAATATAATTGCTTCTTACCTTGCGAAACATAGCTGCCAAATGAAAAAATCCTCTGGCCTCTGGTATGCCTGTGTATATATGCACGAGTGTATCACTGTGCTTTATATTGTGAATAGAAAATGGGATTTTCAGAATATTTTTCTCATTTTCTTTAAGCAAATCAGAATGATGTTTGAATGCGCGGAGCTCACTCTCAGGCAGAAACCGACGTTGTGCAAATTTACACTCGCAAAAAACTCTAAATAGAAAAAGTACGTTATTAAATCAATCATTAAGCTCTGTTCAACCGAAATCATTATAAAAAGTATGAATTTACCGTTTTCGTTTTTGCCCAGCAGCTAAAGTAATTTTTGACCGTTTCAGGTCCTGTTTTTTTCCCACGTCTGCTTTTCTGCTATATATTAAGTCTTATTTTAAAAGATCCAGTTGTAAATTATATCGTTTAGTTAGATCGTATCCGAGCACTCTGTTCTGTCTATCCACACTGCCACCACCCACAAACCTATTGCTGAAAATAAGGAAATGGCGAAATGGGCCTGATAGACGAAAACAGTGAGGATAATCTGACCAAAATTAACGGAATCGATCAAACTAAAGTTGTACCACCTCCGCAAAAAAAAAAAAAAAAAAAAGTATAATATTGTTACTTTAGTTTATTACTATAAAATATGTAACAATAAAATACATATCTTCATATTACATTTAAAATTTAAAAGCAAAACTTACCCTTCTGGTTTTAGGAAGGTAGTTGAAGGGTTACCAGCATTGGATTCAGAGGTTGCGTTTTCTTCTAAAAGCCTGTAATTAAATATATCAACACCATATTAGACCTTTTAGCATAAAAAATTGTCAACCGAACTTAAAAATCCTTTGGCCACCCAAATTAAAGAGCATTTATAAAAATCAGTAACTATTGATAAGGTTGTTTATGAAGTTGTTAACCCAAAAGTAAATAATTAGATTATAATTCTCGGTTAGTTAATAGTTGAAATTAGGGAAAGAGTCACTATAAAACGTAATATCCTACTGTGAACTGCTGCAAGAATAATTAAAAGTACAATATATCCTCCGACAGAAAAAAAATAGGCCCAAACAGTGACGGCAGAGATAAATTATTGGAATACCTGAAGTTACAAATTTATGGTTGTATAGAGTATGCACATGTGGATTTTTCTGGGATTTGACAGTAGTTATTGGTGAAAATGGTTTTGTGTGTGTGTACCTCACAGACTCACCAAAGTAGTCTAGGTTAATATACATGGTTTCTCTCTACTTAATGATTTAACCTCACCAGCAGATTCAACGCCCCAAATGGACTTAAAAGCAGCACCATACAAACTATGTTCAGTTGTGATGTCGATTTTTATGATTTTTCAGCTCATATCGAAGTTTTTTAAATAAATCGCTTATAGCTGAAAGATTATACATTACAGAAAAAAATGATTCTTCCTGTTGAAAAAAGTAAAGAAAGAAGAAGAAACTGTAGGTATGCTTGTTGCATCAAAGGTAGGTTAAAGCACAGCCGTAATACAACAACTTTTTTTTTGTGTCCAGTATTGTGTACCCCATAGACTTGTCATAGGTTAGTATTTACGTAGGTTAGTTAGTATGTATTAATGATTGCAGTGTCTTAGGCGCATGAGTCAGCGAATAATATTAAATACGCGGAACCTTCGCAACTCTTATTTGCACATAGGCAATGAAAGATACTTCTGTGTATGAATGTATTTATTAGCGTGGATGCTGGAATAACGTCAAGGTTGTGAACCATCTGCCGCTTTCCAACTCACTTTTAGAAGTAATATAGTGTATATTTTTTGTTAAGTTAAAGAGTCCATTTTTGTGCACGTATAGCTATGTCCAATAGTATATGTACATATATGTCTGGAAGGGTTGAAAATGAATTTTTAAAAAAATTATAATTAATTATTATAAACAAATATTGCGTACTTTTCGCTACTCACCCATCAAGGAACTGTGAAATATTGTTCTTCCTCGCATCTTCTTCAGGCGTGTTAAAATTGTAGTACGACATTATTCCACTTGTTGTCGTACGGTCGGCGATCAGAAAAGTGATATGGTGAAAGCCAGAAGGACATTTTTATGTTGCCTTGCCCCGCCCTCCACCCCTACTGTTTGACGAAAAACAACCAATCCCCTCGACATTTCCCCTTTCTAAACTTTGCTGTGTAAATGGCTGTTAAAATATATTTTTAAAAATAATTTCCGTTTTCTTGGATGCAATTTTTTTAAAAATCTTCTTTGCTACCTTGTACTTTTTGTTTCTTTTTATAGGTGAAATTTTATTTTTAACTGATTATTTGGAAATCGTGAGATGCGGTTTGATGTGACGTAGGTTTCAGAAAAACATTTTCTTTATCGTGCCAACGTTTCGATCTTTATTGAGATCATCTTCAAGGCTCAAAGTGTTATCTGCGTAATTGTGCCATTCTTGCATGTCGAGTCAACAGGGCACTCTCAACACGACACGCAAGAATTGCACAATTACGCAGAAAACACTTTGAGACTTGAAGATTATCATCAATAAAGATCGAAACGTTGGCACGATAAAGAAAATGTTTTTCTGAAGCCTACGTCACATCAAACCGCATCTCACGATTTCCAAATAATCGGACTAACGGTCACCACACATTTATTTTTAACCACATTTGGGCGATCCAGCGCCATGTTCAAGTAGGAACATTATTTTTAGTTTTAATGTTATATTAATATTTTTTATAAAATCTAATATATTTTTATAGTTAATTTATTATTAATATTTACCTTATTTTTAACATTACAAAAATATTTTGGAGCACGTCAGCATGCGGCACTGATCAAATATCTCAGGGTCACAAATATTTTTAACTATCTTTATGAATGTGATATGTATTATTTGGGACGAAAATATTTATTAGCGTTAATGGAGGAGGTTATCACCAATTACGCCAGGGAATATCGACTATTCTGGGTGATGTAAATAAATTATGGTGTTTGAATATAATTATCAGCGTGGATGGAGGGCCTTGTCAAAAAATCTCCGGGAAGTAACGAGTACTCTGTGGTAGTTTGAATGATTTGTTATGTGTGAGTGTAATTATTAGCGCGATTGGACGGTCTTAGCTTCAGTTATCCCGAGGAATATCGAGAATAATGGGGGTGTGAATACTATAATGTTTGATGATTAAATACTTTGATTGAATATAAAAAATCTTTTTTGCATTGTATAAATTCACTTTTTTCCACATCCTACATGTATTTGTTAAATTTAAACAATGTTTGTAAATCCCATGCTCTGAAGATGATCTCAATAAAGATCAAAACGTTGGCTCGATAAAGAAAATGTTTTTCTGAAACCTACGTCACACCAGACCGCATCTCACGATTCCCGAATACTATATTGTTTTATCTTATCTCTGTTTGAGGTGTATTTGTGTAATTTTTCCTTAATTGACGAAAACCTGATGTTTGGAGATGTTTCTTTACTTTTCTATTTTTCTTCTGTTTAGTTTAGTTTTCTGATTAACGATAAGATAAAGAAAAGAGAAAGTCACCTACCGTCCTAGTCGGTCTGATCATAACTCGGCTGGAAAAAGATGAAAAGAAATTAGTAGGATTAAGAATCTTGAAAGACATGAAAATCAAAACAAAAAGTATGTGTACTTCGTTAAAAAAAGAAAAAACTTTAAATTTAGAAAATGTTATGTACAGTATTTCTATAACTTTTCGTCAGTTATTCCGTCAAAAATTTGTCCGTTCAAGTGAAAAAATAATTTTTGTAAACAATAAAGTAATTAGTAAGTCTTATCAACATTCCAAAACAAATTTTGATATCGTTTCTGCTCTGTAATTTCGTTTTATTTACTCATTTTTGTTTGAGATGAGCGGAGGTTTATTTATAAGTTCTTGTTTCTTTATACTATAAGAATAATTATTTTACATCGTGTTAATAAACCATTACACAACATTATAGTTGTAAGTAAGTATTAAGAAATATTTTTGTAAATGTATTTTCTATGATTGTATAGCAAATAAAATTATTGTTATTAATTTGTTAGATTCGTGATGAACGGTCAAAAATGAGATAGTTGAAAAACACTTTTTTCATTTTTTTGTCGATATTTCGACCTTTATTCGGGACATCTTCAGGATGTAAACCGTGGTGATATTCATGTGGTGTCATATTGGTGTCATGTTGAATTATTATCACCTCACACCTGAAAAGAATTTATTGATTTAATCTTTTTTTCCAATGACATCTATCTATTGATTGGTTATAATATTAAAAAAAATGTAAATTAAAAATGATTTTAGCAACGCAGTAAAAAAATTTTAAATGGGAGGACAAAATATACGATTTTTCAGTGGTGAGAGACGTGGAAGTCGAGGAGATTAAATGAAAGGCAAAAACACGACCTTCTTTGTGTTGTTTGGATTAGAAAGAGCCTCTAGTCCCCCGTCACAGGATTTTCCGTCTATCATTTTATCCAGTGTTGCGGTAAGTAGAAAGGTGGTTTTTCAACGTACATATAAGGTTTACACACGACTAATTTTGAAACCAACTAACTTTATGAACGACGAGTTTACTCTAATTTTACTTACGATATTATAATAATAACAGGATATAAACAAAAGATTATTGACAATCTCGACCAGTAGTTTGACAACAATATGACTGTGATATTGTTGTTTTATGAATGGTGTGCAAGTGTTTATATAAATGTAAAATTAATTAAGATTGTTCTCTGCAGAATCTGAAGAAGACGAACTATTGTCAATTACAGGAAATGAATCTGTAATCCGACTCTGCTGATAGTGTGTTTCTGATAACTAATCTAACCTTCCTGTGTGTTATACAATATTATTCATTCTCTGCTGTAAGCCCCGCCTGAATCCTTGTAGTTTTTAATAAAAATCTTTTTAAAAACTACTTATTATCCGGAGTTCATTCAATTGGCACCTGTATAGGGACTGGCGAAAGTCGTTTTAAAAAGACCAATTGTCTTTAAATTGCGCGATTTATCCCGCGAAAAAGCAATTTGAGTTTTACTCTTAATTCGCCGAGTTTAACAACAGAGGACTCCAGAGCAACTTCCTTGTGCCTCACCTCAAAAACAGGCTGGCTGGCCAAAATCACCTGAGGTTCAAACTTTACTACAGAAGATCTACACTATCACATGAACATCATCGTCATCATCAGAAGAAGAAGACTCCCAATCTGTAGATCACCCTCCAGCAAGTGACTCCTATTCACATAATACGAGATCAAATATTTTACCCTCCACATTAAACATCGTTTATGAACTATCAAAACCTTTGCCCACTGAGATCCTAAAAAAAGGTTCCTCGTTATGATGCTGCGACTTCTAATTGTCTAATTTCATTTTGCACTGCATATGGTGCCAATGAAGTTAGGGAAAAAGATTCGAATCACTACTGGCTTCTATTCAGAGCTGCAATGTTTATACGGTCCTGCAGAAGCAGTTATCTTGAACAACAAAGTTACTATATTACTGATCTAATAAAATCACTAAAAAATAATTTTTCCGACAGGAGAACAATTCCAGATCGTATAGCGGAAACAACAGTTATGAAGTCACACAACCGAGAACACCGTACCGAATTTTTAATTTCAATTAGAATAAAAACACACTTTTTTCTTGTAAAAGCAATAAGAATGTTGAATATAAATTGAAATAATGGAGATAATGAAGGTTTCCGCTCCCTCTTGAATTTAAAGCATTGGGTCTGACGGTGTCCCCTGTTTTTTCGATGTGGAAATTCGGTTAAAGGGTCTGATGTTTAATTGCGGTGTCAAAGACATCTGAAATATAACCAATAAAAATGGACCCCTAGAAAAAATATTTATTTAAACTATTATAGGATAAAAGCAAGAAGAAAAAAAATGGAGAGACTTTCGGAAAAAATAGCTTTATTTGGCTCGACAGGTCCTAAATCGGATTCTTTTCAAGTTTTTGATCTTAATAAAATGTAATATACATCGTAAACTGAATTTTTCATCATCACAAATAGTAAATTTTCATTCAATGAACCAGTTGGTTGCCGATAAAAGAAAAATCACTGTACCTGTCAAAAACAACAACAGAACAAAACCATTTGACATCATTGGAGAAAAATATTTCGGATGGATTCCCAAAGGAGAAAATTCGTTTTCGATACCGGTTCAGTGCCTTAGGGATTCAAGAGACACAAAATTAATTAACATACTTTTTGTATTCTAATTATTAATTTGTTGTAAATTTGGAGTAGTTAATAATATCATTTATAAATTTATGAGTTTTAAATAAATTTTTTGTAAATAAAATGTATTAAGATTTTTTAATTTTATTATTTCTTTCATTAATACTATTGAGAGAGAAAAAACTTGGTTTCTGAATAAAAATTTGTTAACAAATCGTTTTTTATTATTATTCCGAAATCGTGAGATGCGGTCTGGTGTGATGTAGGTTTCAGAAAAATATTTTCTTTATCGTGGCAACGTTTCGATCTTTATTGAGATCATCTTCAGGGCTCAAAGTGTTTGTCTTCAGTGTAATTATGTCATTCTTGCGTGTCGTGTTGAGAATGCCCGTGTTTTTTATTATTTTAATACAGTACATTATTTAAAACTTAGTAAGTAAAAATAATAGATTATCCTTCACATTTATAAATGTATCTAATCTATTTACATAAACCACCAAAATAAAATAATTAATATAACTAAAATAAACAACCAAGTTTAATCGTCAAATAATCTTCCAATCCATGCTTCGAAGTTCAACCGACTTACGATGGCCTCAGCCTTGTTTTTTTTTCTTTTCAATTTTCTGAAAAATGACATGTTTGATTATTTACATTATTGTCGTAATAACATTATCGTAAAATAACATACTTTTTGTACACTTTGCTTAATGATATTTATAGCGGTTTTTTCTTGAGATCTGCATATCCTTTCCATATTGCTTTACATTTTACTTTTCCTTTACCTATATTATCTGTTTGTTTCTTTGGTTTGATTTGTTTCAATTTTTCTACATCCAATTTCAT